TGCAGACGCCTGCAAACATGGTCAATTAAACTCATATCACATCGCTGCAATCAAATTACGACGATGCTACTGGTGCATCTCATGATGTTGATGATGGAAAACAATGAAGCATACGGGGGAGGAAGAAGACCGGCAGATAGGTCAGGAAATGTGATTATGCAACATACAACACGGTCAGAGAGAAGGAGAGCAGTCCATAGCATAGCAGAGGAAAGCATGACTCACTGGTGAATCATTTATAGTCCGGTGTTCTTATGGTCACCATATGTGTTTGTTTTTGCCCTGTGTGGGCACGCTGCCGGTTTAAGATACAAGTATCTGAGGATTGCCATGTTGGTAGAGACAGAAATATCTAAAAAATAAAATCTGGATACATCGCTCTGCAACACATTTATACAGATATTTATGTGAAGAGGATTTCTCTGACAGATTTAAAGAAGGACAATTCTGAATATATGTAGCGTAGCTTTGAATGAAATATCTCAATAACTTCTGGATAAGTTGCCTTAAAATTAGGAAAATAAATTGACGTCCCCCTCAGGACTTCACGTTTCCTTTATTGCCATCATCAGGTCAACCTTTTAAATTGTCCAAAACGTTTTGTTTATGACCAAAACTATAGTATTTGCAGAGGATATAGAGGGGTGATGACTTAAAAAAGCTGCAGATTCCATAGTCCAATGCTCTGCCCACAATGTGTATTTTAACTGTTACACCCCGTTTGATTCTGCCTTGCCTGTTAGTTGTGTAAAGTGTGACTCACTACATGGTTAGCTTTAGCGTTGTAAGGAAACATACCATATGCAGTGATCATATAGCACTCGACTCAGCGAGCCAGCTGGAGAGCACACACGGATGTGAACCATGTTGGGCGTAATAACTGTGATTTAGAGCTAAATTGCACTAATAATGTGAAATGAATGGATTCTATCGCCCTGCATGAACAGCTCTTGACCCAGAGCGGAGGTCAGCTCATGGAGGAGGAGAGAGAGAGGATGGCAGAAGAGTGTCTGTCTGCTTTCCAGAACATCAAATAAGGCCACTCAGTTGATTCCAAACATTGATTCCCTGGGGAAATCCGGAAAACAAAAGCAAATGGAAGTAATAGAATGTGCCGTGTTGCGGGGGAGGGAGGGAGACTGACGAAGGTATTGCAGAGGAGATTCATGTGGAGACAAAATAACATAATGAAGTTGCCATTTACATAACCTTCATTCTGTGTTGTTGTCCCTAGGATTCACTGTGATCAAAGATGTATAATTGAGTCACTCAAGCAGCATAACATACAAATTATAACCATCGAAAGGTCACATCAGGAATTAAGTTATTTAGTTCAGCAGGAACATTTTTTGTGTTTTTTTTCCTGTGCAGAAATAACTTGACTTTTCATTACGTTTACATGCAATTTGTGAATAAACCCAGCATTTACGAGCACTATTAACAGACAAATGATGTCACTCAGGAGAGACAAACAACATCCAATAGAAAAGAGGGGGAGGATGGCAGAGAAGGGGAAGTCTTTTTAGTATTTTTCTAAGCTATTAAATCTTCTGTTAAGCGTTCGAGACAGATAATTGAAAATGAGGTGCTCAGAAAGAAGAGTTATAGACAGAATCAATAAGGCAGGGGAAATTGGGGGTTTCAGCCGGGCACACAAAACATTCCCAGATGAAACTGATTTTCCCATGGAAATGTAGGGTCACAAAATGCCTCTCTTCGGAAGAGATCTGAAGTTCCCTTTTGTTCCCTCTCCCTCACATGCAAAAGTAAAAAAGATATTCTGACGTGGACTGGGGTAGAGTTTCAGGCTGTGAAGGGCTCGGAGTCTGTGCTGCAGGAAACCACAGGATGTGAGTCTGGGAGCAAAGCCTCACACACAACAAAGCAGACCAACAACATCCACAAGCACGCCAAATACACACTACACCACTGAGTCAACTCCTTACTTCTCATTGTCGGCTCTAAAATCTACTTGAACATGCCCTCCTTGGGGAATTCGCTGGGGATTGCTTTCAGAGGGAGAGCAAAAATCGAGAGACAAATTAAGTGCGAGGATGAGAGCTAAATAAGAAAGGACTTAAGAGTTTGTTCTGCTGGATCTAACGTAGTAAATTTGTTCTTTTTATTTTGATGTTTGCTATTTCTGGTCTTAGTGATGGCTTTAATGAGATTCGCTGGAGCTTTTAGCTCATTAAAAAGTGATTAGATGCTGTGGCTCCTATATATGCATTCAAGGTAAAAGCTGCTTGTGTTTGTTTCAGACATTACATCTAAAGTACAGAAGGGGAAGCACTTTGCAAGATAACATTTGCAAGACAGTGAGAAATAAAAACTCACTATAAATTAAGCCTAAGAATACAACGTCTCTGTCAACGCGTGTTTTAATGGCTTTTCAAAATGAGTTATTCCATGAAATAGAAACAGCTGATAGAGTTTCTGTTTTTCTCTTAAATCTCATCCTCTCTCACAAGCTTCTCTGATTCCCTTTCTCTTTCAACCTCAAACCTGATGATCCCCTCTTTGTTTGTCCGACCTCGAGCCTTTTCCTCCTGTGTTCTGTAATCCCCTGATTACAGTCACTTTCATTAGCTGCAGGCTGTTTCTGCTGAGTGTAGCAGTCCTCCACTAATAACACTAAAAGCTACAGGCTGTGTGTCACTGTGCCTCAAATACAAACTGACTGCTACCACATTAGGAACATGTTTGCACACTAAAAGGAATAGTTCGTTCATTTTCAGACTTATTTGCTTTCAAGCTAAGAGTAAGATGGAGAAACATTGATTCTACTTCCATGTTTATCCATAAAAAATGAAGATATGGCCAGCAGGCACTTTTCTTAGCACAAACAGTGTAATCAGGGGGATAGCGTTAGCCTGGCTCTGTTCAAATGGATCAACATGTAAGCTATCTTTTTTTTTTTTTTTGGGTTCAAAACTCAAACTCTGAACACAAAGATGCAATACACAGATTATTAGACTCAGTGGACTTACGGCCCGTCTACACTACAGGCATCGAAAAATGCTTTCAACGCTTCGCCCATTCATTTGAATGGGGTGACGTAGAAGATTTGTAAACTTCGCCGAACTGCATTGTGGGGAGCATGGCATGGCTTTGCAAGCATCACGAGCATCTATCGGCATCAAAAGTTGAACATTGTAGCCAATCAAACCGCGTGTATGCTGGGAGAGACTACGCAGGTCATTTCCTCATATTAAAAAAAATGGAGGGAAAATTCATTATAGCGGTAGTGAATCACCCGGTGCTGTATGATCAGTCTCTGTTCATCTACCGGGATACAAACCGGAGGAGCGAGGCATGGAGGGAGGTGGCAGAGACAGTGGGTGAAACTGGTAGGTTTTCGCCTGTTTGGGGATTTTATATCCAGTTTACTTCGTTTTAACATTGCTATTGCTTTGTATGTCGGGGGCGGGCGGGAGATTCCTGATTGGTTGTTGGTCGCGAGAAATCACCAAGCCTCAGACACGCCCAGCTTCAAGATTTGTTGATGCCTGTAGTGTAGACGGGCCGTTACAGTTTAAATGTAATATTCTATTTTTTACGTGTTCGGCGTAATGACGTACAACGTCCTCGACAACTTCTGTAGTCCTATTCAGCCACTTGTTAACAACAATCATATTTCAGACACGTCAACTCTTCAAAAATCACCAGTGCACTGCTGATGTATTTAGGCCCCCGTCCACACAGAGACGAAAATGAAAATTAACCGAATTCGATATCAAAAAAGTCTTCCGTCCACACGGAATCGGCTCAAGAAACGTGTCCGTCCACACGAGACCGCTCGACCCGCTGGAGAAGATGTAGTACATATGCCGGGCCTTTAAGTGGCGCTGTACTTCCACCACAAAATACACCAAAAGCAACGAATAAGACCGATGCCGATTATTATGTTATATATTATATTATTATTGTTGCTGATGGTTGTGGTAGAGGAGCTGTAAATGTTGCACTAAAATCTGTATCATGGTCAGTAACGTCTGGAGCACGAACGCAACCCTGTGATCCGCCATTGTTGTTGTTGTTGGTGAAACGCAGAGAGGTGGGGCTATGGCGTCATCGTTTTCAGGGAATGATCGTATTATCGTATATCGTATGATCGTATATCGTATGATCCGTACAGACGGAGCCGCAAGCGTTTCGTCCTCAGATCTACCCACTTTTTGGGAGCCGTAATCAAAGGTTATCGGATTCGGGCTCCGAATCCGCGTTTCCGTGTCGGCCTCGTGTGGACGAACCGTCTTCTATACGATAGAGAACGTTAGCGGATTCAACTGATATCGTCTCCGTGTGGACGGGGCCTTAATGTCATAGAACAAAACGTGATCCGTCTCTTACATTTGTGTCAACCACAGACCTTATTTCGAGCTATTTTCCAAAATCCTATGGAGAAATCCCATTGGCTCTGAGACGAGGGAACCGGTAGTGGTAAAATGCTAACTCACTTCCGGGTTTTAGGACTCGTCACTGCACCACTCTATTGCAGACAGGATATGCTAATAGCTGATTCAGTATACCTATAATGGTGCCAATTTTCTAAAAACATTCAACAATTAAAAGGCATAAAATCCCTCAGGGCTCAAGTTGTAGCCAAGAGCTAGCTAACGGCATAGCAACATTAAAGTTCCTGTTTATATCCCCTAAAAACATCATGCAAACTTAAGAAAAATCTCCCAAATAGAAGTAAAACTACGAATAATATGGAGGTACAAAAAGGAGTAACAAACTAATTTACACTGAATGTTTAAATGTTGCATATTCAGTTCTTTGGATGGTACTAACGCCAGAATATACCATCAATATGTTTCTTATAGACATAAGAGAAACTCTCTACCAGAAAAAAAGGCCTATTTCTCAAAATGTTGAACTATTCCTTTGACGTATAATGGCTTTGTTACAAAATGTTCTTCATTTTCATTGGACTCACTTAGTTCTGGTACAGTACTTTATATTCTATTCTAAATAAAAAAGCAAAGTGGTATTACTTTTCATCTATGTTGGCAGAGTTCCTCAGGGTGAATGGGACGATCTCATTGCACGAGCCCTCCTTGTTCTCTGCGCTCCCTTTGGCCCTGATGAAGAGGTCAGCGTCTCCGTTCACCAGCACAGCAGGCTCGCTGCTGTTCTCCAGGTTGAGCAGGTTCAGGTAGGACTCAGCACTGTCCACAGTGGAGGGGGAGAGGGGGAAGGCTTGGAGAGGCCATGCAGGTGTGGAGGTGATGAGCTGGTCCAGCGTCTGGATGTAGTTCTTCCTCAGATTCAGAGTCAGAGCCTTTGCTGATGTTACTGAGCCGCACGGGGACTGAGGACCATCTGGAATAAGCAGAAGATAAATCAACAAAACGCCACTATAATAAAACATGCAACTGCTGAGCATTTAAGAGTTAACCATAGGGCTGCAACATTTGGAAAGAAACTCATTTTGCAATTGTGATATGAATCACAATTTTGGAGGGATTGATCATTTTTGTGTCATTATTTTCATTATCATTCAAAGATATATAGGGCCTCTTTAAATTCAAATTAATAGTGCAGCCCTAGTCGACCAAAAAAAAGAAAAAGAAAAAGATATTTCTTATTTGTCTGAAGATCTCTCATAGCCCTGACTCTCATTACAGAATGGAGAAGTTGGCTCTGTGCCAGAGGAAGATTTAAGTCCAGCTATGTCTAAGAGTAGCATTTTTTATCAGAGGGACTAACATGATTCAAACCAGCATTAAACATAATGTGGCATTTTCAAAATGTACACACTTCAAAACTCACACACACACAGCTCTGCCCACTGTGTGTGTCTCATTATGATTTTGGCAAGAATGGTCGTTTCTTTTCACTCCTGTAATACATGCCTCCACCGAAAATCCTCCCTTGGGACAGTGTGTGTATGAATGTGTGTGTACCAAAAATAAAGGTTTTTACACAATGAAAACTCTCAGTGAGAACACAGTCTGAGAGTGTGAGATAATGTTGACAAAATGTGGTTTTAAATCCACTCTGATTATGTAATCTGCTCTTAGTTTAATATAGAGATGCTATTGTTTGGAAGAATGTTGTTTTTACACTTTGTGTTGCAAAAAGTGATATGGGTGGGGGAGGAATCAATATAGTTGGCAGTAGTGTTTAACAGGACTGCCATTCTTTGGCAATTAATGAGCAATGGTTTAAATGTTTTTCACAACCACATTAAAAACATCTGGGAGAAAGCTCATTAAAAAAACATTTCAACACAATGCATCTAGTACAACAACACCACTAACACTTCAGTAATAAATAATAATAATAATGGATTACATTTTTTAATTAGAGCGCTTTTACAGGTGCTCAAAGTGCTTTACGATTACATATTAGACATGTAAATGTCAATACTGTGGACATTACCCACAGGAGCAAATGCGGGTAGAGTGTCTTGCCCAAGGACACAACGGCCTGACGCAGTGGCGGCCGAGGCGGGTTTCGAACTGGTTCACCAACGCACCTTGATCTGATGATAAACGCTCTAACCACTGCGCCAAAACCACCCCTTAAACATATAGTTAAATTAACACATCGGTAACAGTGTACACATTCGAATATTCTTAATTCCAGATGTTATAGTAGATGTATAGTTGAATTAGATGTCAGTAAGTGGAAATGGATAAATGTTAGGAAATAATGTAGCTTCATGCATCTGTTTGTAGGAGGGTCCAGTGCTTTGGTGCAGATTTATTAATCCTAAAAATATTCCTCTAATGTCCTGACCACTATTTTACGAGGTTAGACCGGAGCACTTTTCAGTGCACCAGTCAATCCTCAAATTGAATGCAGTTAGATCCCAGGTCAAACGTCTAGTCTAGAGGGTCTTGAGCATGTTGTCTTCAGTGATCGTATTGTTATGTTTCCTTGTTTCTTGTCTTGGAATATGTTCTTGTTGATGTAGCAAGTGGAGCTCCTGTGATGCAAGAACATTTTCAGATTTTAACTGACATTAAAGTATTATCGGATGTCTTTCACATCAGCCTAAGCTATCATTTGTATTATCGGTACTTATTATTATATTATTACTAATTAACTAATGTTGGCATGCTAAACTGCTTCACCTTTTGCTACTACTACTATTATATACATTGAGTGAGTGAATTAAACCTTTTTTTACATAAATGTGAAAACTCATATGCTTATGTAAAAATGAAAGAATCATCTCTAAAAACCATGTTTGAGCACCAACTCACTCTCTCCCATTTCACCTCATTCTCTCTCATTAACAATATCAAGGGCTTTTAATCAGTCTTCATTAACCATGACAAAAAAGCCTCCTTTGATACTGTGATCAAGAAATCTCAGCAAGAAAAGAACTCAGACACAGAATGTACACACTGCTTAAACAGTTTTAGCTCACACCAGGAGAATAATCTTCTTTTAGATAAAGGCAACAATGCTCAATTACAGCTGCCCAGATAGCACAAAGGGAACACCTTCACCTGCAGGGCGGGGGTTCGATCCCCGGCAGCTGTGCTTCTGCCTCGTCAAACACAGCTGAGGGTGTTTGCAGGCGGGAGGCCATGTGTGTCATGAGTGACTGCACTGTCCCCGGGCCAGCAGAGGAGCGAGCAAAGACCCGGACTGCAGAACCCGGGGGAACCTGACCTGACATCAGTTCATCTGTTCCCAGCAGTCACTTACCGAGTCCATTAGCCTGCAGCTCCGGTCCTGCTGGTGTTGTTGGGGCGCCGGCCTCCAGCTCCTTCAGCTGCTGCACCAACAGAGCCAGGTGCTGCAGCAGGTCCCGGTTCTGCAGCAGCAGCTGGTGGACCCGGGCCTGAGCCTCCAGGCGGGCTGCCGACTCTGCAGCCATCTGATCCTTCAACAGCTGCACCTGGAGAGGACACACGGAGAGAGGGGGGCATTATGGATTGAACTGTTAGAATTAGAGCATATGGATAAAATAAAAAAATATATAATTGTGATTTAGACTAATGTTTTTATCGCAATATGATTTCAATATTTTAGGGAATGATCATTTTGTCAGGAACTGTACTAAGAAAATATGTTTAGATAATAAAATGTTAGGGTGACACTACTTTCACACCACAATGCAATATTCAAATCACAGAAAGGAAGCTGAATTAGGATTCAAATAGCAAAACAGAGAAATATTGCACTTCCTGTTATTTTAATATTACACTAATCAATATTGTGATTTGGATAAATGACCAATTAATTGTACGGCAAGAGTTTTGAAATGCTTTTTTTTCTGTCTCTTTAATTCCGCTTACCTCCCATCAGAGATATTATGTGATTTTGATTAATTATATTATTTGGATTACATCTAATTCATCATTTCCCATTGCTATGATTTCAAGACTGAAACTCAAATGAATAATGGAATGGCTCTTTAGGTGCATCATTAACTTGCGGGTCGATGTGGCTGTGGCATTGCAATCAACCACATCAGACTTTAAATACTGAAGTGAATATGCATTTGTGTTGTAGTTCCTCAGATTACGCTATAAATGAGGGTTATTGAATCGCTTGAGATGCTCAAATGTTTAACCACATGTATTTCATTCTGCTACACTTACTGCCCTTCCATTACTCTGTTGGTGCTGCCCCCTAGTGGAAACCATAGGTAAAAGACACGTATTTGATTGAGGGAGTGATAACTCAAGATGAAGATCATCTCCATAGGACTGCTTAACTGTGCTAAAATATTTTCCATATAGTTCCTGCTGATGTGTGATTGTGTGCAACATAATAGAGTGAATTAGCCTCAAGCTACAAAAAAGTGTGTGAATGCGGACAACACTAAAGATAATACTACTAATAATAAAATAAATGCTTTGCCAATTAGTAATTTGGAGGACAAATAGATGGAAGAAAGTTAAATAGGACAACAATTTAAAATTGCGTGGAAAATTGACATGATGCTCTTTGTTATACCAAAAATCATATCAAAATATGTGGAATTTTCCTGTTAATATTAGCACTATTTGTGGGTGGTTTGTTTAATTTTGTATTTCTATAAGTCATTTAGCTTGAACACATAATAATATTTAAATGTGGCAGGATGAATGACAAAGACAAAACTAACAATAATAAATAAATAAAATGTGATGATCTGTGGAGCAAAAGCCTCACAAGTCTCTTTTACTAAATAATTCCATTTTCATTTCATGACATAGTGCAGGTTTTCAAAAGCTTACTGAAATAAATATGAGGCAGAGTGAGAGAGAAAGATGTCATCAATGTCAATGAACGAGCAGAATCATATGAAATATTTCATGACACACTGGATGAGCTAAATCCACAGCGTGAGTCAGGATCAATCCGACGAGCTCAGCTGGGCCAACAAAGTCAATTAGAAAAATAAGAGGTACATGCTACTGGCTATTACTGAAAACAGGCGAGCATCAAGTTTAATTTATGCCGTACTGATTATTGTGTTCCCCTTTCTAAAAAGAGACTATTGATTTTGATTTAGCCCTTAATCAATAAAAGATTGTACAAAGGGCATAGACTAAAAGAAATGTTAATCTCATTCATTGAAATGCTTAATGGGAATGGCTGCAGTGAGAGAGGAGAACCAATCAGAGTGGAGATGCAACGACTATTTGGAAACATGTAAATCAGTCAGTAAATGTTAAAGCAAAACATTGTGAAAACCAATTCTCTCTGGTTTCATGTGTTTAAATCTAAGATTGTCTTCCTGTCTTTGCAATAAATTAATTACATATACTTAGTTTGCTGCCTTTTTCTAAAAGTACCAAAGGTGGAAACTACCTGGCGGGATCAATTGACCTTTTCCAGGAATATTTATTTTTTAAAGTATCAGCTTTAAAATATGGATTTAAGCTTGATCTTAACGTAGGGTTGTAGAGAAAAGTTAAATGTAATTGTATTGATACAAGAGTAATGTAAAGGGAAAATTAGTTAAGAGCAATATGAAAAATAACTATATATATACATATATAAAAGAAAAGACAAATAATAATAATAATATCATATTAAGTCGTTGAATATCAAAAAATAAAGTTAATACAAAAATGAAAAGGAAAACATTTTCAGAGCAATACAAAATTATCATTTTTTTAAAATTAAATTATAATAATGAAAATAATATAATAGTAAAAACTGAAATAATACAAATGATACCATATTTGGACTTTGAATATCACAAACTGTTAAGACTTTAAGGAGGGGATCGTGTAATCAAATCAAATTAATCCATAATGCGTTAGATGCAGCCCTAAATCTAAGGCTGTAGGTGTAATAGAGTAGATTACATTACATGTCACTTGTTAGACGCTTTTATCCAAAGTGACTTACATACCAAGTACTGTGGGCAATCCCCACAGGAGCAATTTGGGGTGAAGTGTCTCAGGGACACAACGACATGCTGACTGCAGTGGGGTTTGAACCTGTGACCCCCTGACCCCAACTTCAAGGCTCTATCCAATGCACCACACGCCTCCCAGTAGATATTTTACAATTGGTCATTATGACCTTCTGCCGTGTTTACCCAACCTGCACAATGTGTATGAGTTGTTATTTGTGTGTGTGTGTGTGTGTGTGTGTGTGTGTGTGTGTGTGTGTGTGTGTGTGTCTGTGTGTGTGTGTGTGTGTGTGTGTGTGTGTGTAACAGTTTGTGTGTGTTTCCTTACCTGTGCGACGGCCACCTGTGTGTGCTGCTGCTGTTGCTGCAGCTGCTGCTGAAGGAGCTGAAGGTAATGCTGCGACGCCAGCGGAGTCAGAGACCGAGAGCAAGGACTGCTGGGAGTTATTCCTTGGGACGTCACAGTGAAGAGGGACCTCTGATTAAAGTCCTGAGCACACAGAAAAATACACAACATTCATGGAAGGAATATGATTGTAAAGACATTAAAGATTCCTTGGACATCATAGTTGGCCAAAGGGCTGCCAGTTATATTACCTCTCCTCATAATAGGAGCTATTTTTAAACCTTGCACACCAGACACATGCAATTAGGGAACCAGAAGGATAGAAACCACCCGAGAGACTGAGACCAGGAGTGAGACCCACTGATCTGGAGCCTGAGTGTAACCCCTCATCAGAACTAAAATAATCTCTCAGCTCATTTTCAAATCATTCATTCTTTGCCCAATGTCTCCATTTATCTCAGTCTCCAATCCTCCTGGATTTTAAGATCGTTTTCTAGGTAGCACAAATGTTCCCTGGAAAACCTCCTTAAATCTGCTTTTTTTCACCCTCTTCTTATACAGCAGATCAAGACAGTCAGAAAGTATTATCTAAAGAAGAATCCCATGAAATGTACACTCGTTTTTAAGAGGGTCCTTGACCAAATCTTAAACAAATGGAAAGCGAATCAACACAACACTAAAACAATTTCAAAGTATAAATGAAGAAACTGTGATAACATTAATGAAAACAGAGGCAGTAAAATATTTACAGATAACTTATATTGGTACAATGGTATATAGAATATATTGCAACTCCTACATCACACCACTAGAGGGCGAAGTAACACTCTGTAAAAGGTCTCAGGGTATCGGGTTGGATTGACAGCGGCTAGGCAATGTAATAAAAACAATCCCACAACTTTCATTAGATTTCTATTGAAATGTTGCTCCACTCCGATTGGTGTACAGAATATGTGACATCACTTTTTTCAAACTGAGCTCCACCAGTGAAGGGAGCTCAACAAAAAAACAACAAATGTGCAGTATCTGAAACTGTGGCATACCTTTTCATGCTCATGTAGTAACACATTGTTTAAAGAGAAGCTGATTGATACCATTTCTCAAGGCCTTTAATTACATTTTCAACAGCCTTTCAAACTATCGCCTTAAAACATTTTCAACTCCTCTGGTCTTGGTGGTGTTTCTGTTTTTGTGTCCACCCTTGTGTTGTCTAAACAACCTGCATTGTGTAATCCATATCTTTATTTCCGTTATCCTGATCTCTAATTAAACCTTCCTCCATCTCTTTCTTTCCTTCCTTTCTTCCTTCCCTCTCTCTTCTCTTATCTCCACGGAGCAGATGTTCATGAACCCCTCTATGGGATTAAGTGTCCCCCCTTTCACAGGCAGCAGGAATATTCAGGTTCGCCTCTCCTATCCATCCCCTCTCTCTTTCAGCAGCACGATAACAGCTGTGTCTCCTGCGCTCTCACTATGGTGACAAATCCAAGAAAAACATTGTGACACACCAGAGCCTCCCCATCCTGTCACAGCCGAGTCAGTACCTAACTCTGTAAGGATTTAAATTATACTAAACCTCAAGCACAACTGAAACAAAAATGTCTTTCTTTTCACCTAATGCATGTGTGACCGTGTTTTTTCACACACAATGTCTGCTGCCAGCCTTTGTTAGTCATGCAGAGCTGCAGTGGATGATCTGGTCAGGTACTGCAGTACATGATGAAGCACAACACTGTACTTCTCTAGAAATGAGCCATTTGGCAACACGCTGCCTGGATAATAGCATCAAAACATCACTAAAGACGAATCAATGAAACACAGTGGAGGTCATTTCCTGCAGCTTCAAAGACAGAAGCAGCATAATACAAACTGGAATCATTGAATGTGGATGCTGCTGTTAGCTCAATTCTGCTGCAGGTGTCAATAATGAAGGAGAACCTTCACTACATATGATGGAAACAAAATGCCATACAGGGTGGTGTTTACGATGCATGTCTGTTATTATAAGGCTGCTTTTACTTTCGGTTGTTGTAAGATTCAACTATATATCACGACTGTCTGGAAACATAAGCATTGTATGCTTGAGAGGTAAAGCGCATGCTAATACATTACCGATGACCAGTGTTGGGACTAACGTTACTGTAACGCCGTTATTTTTGGTAGTAACTATAGTACTCTGACGCATTACTTTTTTAATTCAGTAACTCAGTTACCGTTACTACATGGTGCGTTACTCCGTTAGTTTTTTTATATAGTCAACAGCCAGGCGAACAGAGATGAGAACTGCACTTAAGTACAGTACTTGAGTAAATGTACTTTGATACTTCCTGTGTCACATGCGGAGACGGGCTGTGGGCGTGTTTGTGTTGTTTACTAACAAGACTATCATGGCGGCGGCGGAGCTCAAGTCTAGTTTCTCCACCTGGAGATATTCTCACTATTTCACTTTTGTCGAGCACCAAGAAAAGAACGTTTTAGTTCAATGTAAGCTGTGTCTTGGCGGGTCAAAGATCCTATCTACTGCCCAAACCAGTCATTCAAATCTCTTAAAATATCTGCAAAAACAACATGCTGGGACGAAGCTAGTAGCTAAAACCACAGAGACTCAGCCGACGCCACTCCACCTCCACCTAAAGGAGACCTATCATGCTATATTTAAATGATATAGTGTATGACCATACCTATATAAGGTATATTTATACATTTTATTTTTCAAAATACCAAACAGATCATTTTTTAGCCATGCCTCGTTTCGCTCATTTTCGCTCTTTTCCAAGCCTGTCTTTGAAAATTCTGAGCGGCAGCTGACCACGCCCCCTGCAGAAGAGGGGGGCATGAGCCGGTGAGAGTCACGTTAACATGCTTGCTGTGATTACGAGTGTGGAATAAACATGTCATCTCAGAGCAATGCATGTGTTCAAGCGTATTATCAATTTGATCCAGAGACTGACCCTGAAGCAGCGGAGGTTTTGGTGGAGGTGGAAACATCTCGGTTGCAGCAGGACGTTTCTGAATGGTTAGTTGACAAGCTGTTGTTCCTATTTATTTTACTCTGTTACGATGCGTGCTACTTATTCCGTTCATATTTTGGCTAATTAGCAAGAATGCTATGTGTACAGTTTATAACTTAGAGCTTGTAACGCAAAAACAGCGATACATATATATATTTATAAAGGGAGACATTCATATTTTCAGCATATATACAATGGCCTCATTGCGTTTATTAATAGTTTAGTCCTTTTCTTCCAACATCGTGCAACAACCGTTGGAAAGTTCAATAACTTAGGGTGATAAAAAGTATAACTCCAACAACACCTCAGTTGTCAGCAGTGTGTGTAGTTTCATGTGTTTTTAAAAGCTCAGTTATTGACTTCTTTCTACAGGTGTACATGTGCAAATTGCGCCACGATGCCTTCTGAACGGAGAATGTGTGCTGCATGGAGATACCACAGGTAACATTTTTGATAGCTTCACTAAGTTGTCTGTTTAGAGAATACATTTTTAACATGTCATTCAATATATCTTTATCACACTAGGTGTCAAGACGGATGCAGGAACTTGAGGACTCTATAACCTGTGGTGGACCATCCTGGATTGGAGCCTGTGTGCCTGAATGTGTTCTTCCTGCAGAATGCATTTAATATTTACAGAGCTGAACATGGTGGACTACAGTTGAGGCAAATAGAGCAGTGAGTGGTTTGTTTGTTTTGACTGAAAGTGTAAAACGAATGCCAATATTGTTCATGGAAATAAATACTGGTGTATATGGCTTTATGCAATCTTTCATTGTACATGTACTATTATATATATATATATTATTACACAGCAATGGCATAACACACCCATGTGTACGACAAAAAAAGTCCACACACAACCTTATGCTTTTGAAATCAGAATATTCTTTACCCATCCAAACATGAATAATCACGACACATTTGATATCAACTCTGAACTTTATTGTCAAAATGAACGGTTCTTTGAACCCATAAAAAAAAAACGAAATGTACTTGTATTTTGTATAAATTACACTAAATATTTTTTTTAATGATTTCAGGCGTCACAGGTATCTAGCCTACAGAAGCTTTGTGAGCTGGTGCTGGGGCTTCCTTGGACGCAGGATCAGAGTGGTGATTCCGGTCTGCGTTGTCCTCAAGGAGGCAGGAGTTTCCTGATCCGCAAAATGTCGATGTTGGGTTCAGACAGCAGCCAAATTGAACCGTGTAGCATACCCGGCGATGACCTCGTCCCTGTCAGGTCGCTCATAATGGTGCAGGGTCCACAAAGACTTGGTCGAAGATGAGGTCCATCAAGTTGGCCACGTAGCCTGTGCAATGTTAAAAAAAAAGCACAACAAAAAATGTGGTTTAGATTAGTATATGCATGTAAAAAACTGAAAGTTCTTTCTAATTTTATATTTGTAAATAGTTGTATAATAAATATTTTAAACACTTACGGAATGTGGGGTCAGTCTTTACTGGTTTTGCTCTGCATTCTCCCTTCCTGGCCTTTGGGAACTGCAGTTTATACAGAGGGTTTCCAGGGGATGTAGTGGCTTGTGCACGCTCAGCGTTTTCATTGTAGTGCAGGGCTGCCAGGTACAGTCTTTCATTTCCGCCATGAGAAAAAAAAATGTAAATAATAGCAAAGGATGTACAAATTGTCACTAATTAGTAAGTATGTGAGGTGCTGGCCTGTAAAGAAGAAAACATAGTTGGAACAAAATCATCTCAATTTAGTATTCAGGATGAGAAAATACTATTTGGATAAATATCGTCTGAAATCCCAAAAGATGGGGCTTAAAACTCTCTATTTAGCAAAGCTCTTTGCTTAGCCTTTTCCAATCTGAGTTAGTTTTGAACCGTAACGTGCATGCTGTGTTTCTGACTCAATACAGATGATGTGTTGGAGAGGGGCTGAGCTCAGTAGACTGACTGTAATGAGTGCTAGCCACTAATTAGCCTGTTGCTAGGTAAGGCCTTGTCAACAACAACATACCAACGGGGCTTTAGCTCCGTTTTACTCGTGGTGTGTGTCCCCCCTCGCATACATACACACAGTGTTGTATCCTCACACACCCCCATTTATATTCATGTGCGCAAACAAGTAAACACACAAAAGCTTTTACATATAACGCTGCAAAAAAC